TACCTTTTGGTCCCTTTCCCTGGCCAGCATGATCTGATTGTCCCATGGCAAATGGGGAACCAGGGGTGGGTAGCAGGGGACACAAGTGGCCCCAGGCCAAGGACCTCACTCCACTAATCACCCCACTCACAAAGGGCAACTTGTGGTGTGGGCAGAGTCAGCAAGCAGGCAGGAACAGCAGAATTCTTGGTCTTTTCCCCATCCCGCAGGCTCTGATGGCAAACGGGGAACCGGGGATGGGTTGCAGAGGGGGCAAGGCCAGCTGTGGGCAGCCGGGAAAGATGGCCCTGATCACAGGCCAGGCCTAGGGACCTTACCCACACATGAATTTTGTGCACCGGGGCTCTAGTTTATATATATAAGAATGGGAGAAGGTACAAGAACTTCCTCAATGGGAAATGAAACAAACTGGCAACTAACTTAAATATATTAAATCTACCAAACTTACTTGATTGGTTCCTCAATGGAAAAATAAAACCAACTTATCAGAACCACCCCAAACATTGAGCTGTCTTATGGCAAAATTAATTTATGGCCAATTAATTGTGCCATGAAGATGTTTGCTGCAAAGATATCTGCAGCAAAGATGCTGCAGAATAAATACCTAGAACAGATTCAGAAACGAAGCATGTTTCTTATATCATAATTACTTATAATAAAGGGCACAATTAGTATATTATTTACCATGTACTATAATGCTAAGTAATCAAATCTATATACTAAAGGTCCTCAAATAATATTTTATTCAACATTGTTCCGTTATAATGTTGATGAGATGGCATTAACTCTTATTTATACCAATCAGCCTATGGTAAAATTGATGTTATATGTCCTTTTGCTTAAAGTTGCATAATTCCTCAAAAATGTTAAGTGATGACTTACTGGATACAACAAATAGTAAATAGAGATGTATAGATGTTGCATGTGGAAACAGTGGGGCTCTAATCCACCTCTTTTGTATCGCACTTCTATGAGGTGTTTGTGTTTGGTGCCTCTTTGAAAACTCTGTTTCTTAAAACTAGAGATCAGATCTTAAATATATTTATTCTCTCAGTCTCTGTTAACATCACGTAACAAATCATGTATGCTCAATAATTATTCATTGAGTAGAATTGTATTTAGTCTTAAGAAGTTTGATATTTGTTTTAGCACTTGCTGTAATATTTGATATGGAGATGTATAAAAACTCATTCATCTCAGATTTTAATATGCTGTTCGTTTTAATAAAATTACTAATGTAACAAAGAAGAAAAGAAATTAAAAAAATCACTACTTAAGATTCCAATTAAAGAACAATTAAATGTGAAATGATTAACATGTGTTATTCATGAAAAACCTCTTTTTAGGAGATGAAAATACAACTCAAAATTAACTTATATTATTATTCAGGCAGATGGTTACTACCGTGTTTCCCCGAAAATAAGCATCCTCCAAAAATAAGACCTGGCACATGGAAAGATAAGACATCACCTGAAAATAAGACCTAGCTCAACTTTGGGAGAAAAAATTAATATAAGACACTATATTATTTTCGGGGAAACAAGGTAGATCACTGAAGGGAAAAAAAAGAGGGGGGGCAGTAAAATTAACTAAAGGCTGTCAGAGAGGAAAGAATGATGTAAAACATTCCAAGTTCATGAAATTAAAACTAAATACTGAGTTTGAATTTGAGTGGGTCATTCTCTTGTTTTTACTTCCCTATGATGCCAGGAAGGCTACATGCCCAGAACAGTACAGGACAATGTGGCATTAATTTGCTTTTCTGGCCACCATAGAAACCTACCAGCTGTCGCTACACAACCATTCGGTTCAGACAAAAGCATGTATTGGAAGAAAAAACAGATTTTTCAAAACTGGGAAATTCCATCTACTTTATTGAACCTCATTGTCTACTGAACTGCCAGCCCCTCTCACTTTTCTTTTCCCAAGGTGGAAAGGAGACTGGAAGTGTTGGTCCCAGACAGAGCTCAGAGCTGGAATAACAGAAAACCTCCCCATGCAGCTGTCCAGTCCCCACACTATCAGAGGCATTAAACATTACTAGGCATTAACTATATTACCAGGGGGAATATTACTGGTCCAGAACAGCAAACAGTTGTATTCAGCAGAACTCTTTTTTAGGAAGAGAACTTTGTGAATTGATGGGGGCAGAGTAAGACCACCAGGCAAGTCAGACAGTTGTCTATAAACCCACACGAGATAATGAATGGTGGGTCTTTTGTTTTGTTGAGAATACACAATATTATGGCTAAGAGGAAATACTTTTCATACCTTTTAGTTCTTTACCTCTTAATAAGGAGCCACTCCTTTAAATAAATGTGGGGGGAGGGGGGTATGTAAAGAATAAAGAATATTGTATTTGTGTACTCATTTGAAAAGACACTTAACTTTCATGAATGCCTTCAGTGGAGGTATTCTTAGATCTTCTTTCTCCTATTTTTCCCTCTAAGGTCTTTGCCAAGAAAGGTTTCAGGATTTCCTGTCTTAAGGGTCCTTAGGCAGAACATAGAATACATGCTCTCCTAGTGATGGTCACTAGGACCTCTTAAATGTCTTTCCAGAACTCCCACACTGGACTCTTAGAAATATACGTTTTAAATGTTTCTCAATTAAAGGTTGAAATATTGCTTCACCTATGCCAAAAACCCTTCACACCTTTAAACTTTACTAAGTTCTGTTGTAGTCATGGGATCTTTCTTTTAAAAACAAGGTGCCAATCAATGAAAGAGAAACACCACATGACCTCACTCATTTGTGGATAATAAAGAGCATTATAAACTGATGAACCAAAAGATAGATATAGAGACAGTATATCAACAAGTAGACTGTCAAATTACAGCGGGGAGGGGAGGAAGATCTGGGGGAGATAATAGGTCAACCGAAGGACTTTTATACATGCATATAAGTACAACCAATGAACACAAAACTCTGGGGAGGGAGGGGATGTGTGGGAGGGAGGGGGGCAAAAAAAAATCAATAAAATATATTAAAAACAAACAAACAAACAAAATAAACAAGGTTACATCCAAACCCTGGTGGCGTTATCCCTTCATATGAAAACATCCTGGATGCTGTTGAATTAAGCAAATGACGTCACTTTCTTGGGTTGAAACTAGAAGACCCATGATGTAAATAAACATAAGCCTGCAACAGCCCATCAAGCTGACCAGGGAACATCCATATACTCATGCTCCTAGGATCTATACCTCAGCCTGTATGATCATAGAAATGTTAAGCCAAGATTTTTATAGACCATGACCATACAACATATGCCACTAAAATGTATTTGTCTTTTAAGCACCACCTAAAAGGATTTCTTTCATCCCAAGCTTTTAGACTTTATTATCAGGAGCTTGTCTTTTTTCTCTTTGGAGTTGTTTTTTGATTCCTTGTTTGCTGTGCTTTAATAATGTGAAGGGGCTTCACTCTAGAGATGCACTGAAACAAAACCAAGCTTTGAAGAGCCCTGCTGAGAGAATTAAAATGTATTACATCAATTCAGCCTTCTCTTCCTGCCCTCCCTCTGTTAATTCAACAAAGTTATAAAAACAAACAAAGAGAATATGGTGAAAATACACACATACAGGGGATTTGAGTTTTGTTTTGTATTTTTACACGTGAAGAACAAAAACCTCCATAGAGTTGCGAAAGCTTTCTAACCTCATCAAGCCCTCTTCTATGAGTCATTAAGTTGCTGAAGCCCAGAAAATCAAATTTGGTTTAGGGCTGTTTGATAACGTAGTAACACAATAAAATGTGATTCACCAATTAGCTCATGTAATTAGAAAATCAAAAACATGTTCTAAGTGGCCGGTGGACACACATAAATAAAGTATATTGTCATTCTTTTTGTATTTGTTGATTATAGTTATAATTACATCTCCAGTTGATGTTACTACATGCCAATTCCCTAGGGAAGCAAATTCATCTTTGTTTTTAAGTCAGATAATAAATGAAGCATTCCATTCAGCAAGCCATTCATTCCCTGTTTTGCTTGTTTTATTAATTCTTTCTTGCCAGGCTCTCTGGTAGACTATCCCATCCCTGCCTCCATAGAACTCTCAATCTGCAAAAACTATGTTTAAATTTTTTTATTGAAAGGAAAGTCAACTGAAATGAGAACTCTACAATGACAGTTTTATAAGTAAAAATTAGTCTTTCTTGTTGATTCCTAAATGCTACTGACATTGCCAACACATATATGAAAAAAGAAACTAGTAGCGATTTGAGAATGTTTTTGCTGAGAAGTTTTGCCTGGCTCAAAAGGACTTTGTGATAGATAAGAGTGGGAATTGAATATCTGTTGGATTATTTTGAAGCAGCTCCTGATATATGCTGTATGCACATCTGTTGAAATCTAAAGCCTATGCTATATGCTACTTGGCTGTATTTAAAATGTATTTCTTTAAGTTCAAATCAAGTGTCTCACTAAGAATTTTGACAATGTCCTACTTTGCTCTTTTTCCATTACAACCGAAGTACATGGGCATGGTTACACGGTCCAGGGCTTCCTAATAAATATAATGAGAGGATAATAGGGATGGATTACCTGAGCTTAAACCAATAAAGAAAGGCTTTCTTATGTGACATGGTCATTCTTAATGATGTTTTAGATTAAATAATGGCATGGGGTTGTGCTGCATGTAAAGCTGATTTTTTTACTAGTGTTAATTCATAGATATTTTAAAATACATTAGGAAAAATATTTTCCTTACAACTGTGACATTGCTGCTGGATAGCTTATTCTTTGTCAATTCACAATGCATATTTTGTTTTGTTCTCTGTCCCACAAATGTTGCAAAATTCTAAGAGATGCAATAAGCTTGATTATTTTTTGGTAGAGTCTCATATATTTTGGAATAGCGTGGATTATATTTTATTTAGGTATGATCACATATCAAAAAAATGTGGTTTATTCATAGCCAGGATGAAACCAATCCCAAATTTTGTCTCCATCTCAGTATATTTAATCGTTCTCTTTCTTTTGTTCTTATTTACAGGTCAATGGGACAGAAATTGAATATGAGTTTGAAGAAATTACCTTGGAGAGGGTAAGAAAAATCCAATAATCCAAAGCCCCAATCTTGCTTTCCACATTCTGCATCCTAATGGGTTGTCTTGCAAAATTACACAATTGTATATTATAGCCTGGAAGTTTCCAGCAGGGGTCACAATGAGAATATTTATAAAGTTCTTTCAGAGGAAGGCCTGGGGACAAACAGACCGAATAACCAGAGTGTTCAGTATATAGATTGCATTGCCAGGCTTTGGAGCAACAAATGAAAAGATAGAAATGTTCCATAAACCAGTGCAGTATTTTTTTCCTACTGTTTTGCTATACATTTTACAAACATTATAAAATGTTTTTTTTTTAATTTCTGTGATATTAACACTTTCTTTATAATTACCATCACCATGCATTTTTAAGATTAAAAGCAAAACAAGTGATGGATTTTAAAAGCACCCCTATTGAGAAAAACACAGTAACCCTGCAGATCTCTGAAAATATGCTGTTAGAACCTTGGCAAGGCTTTGAAAAATTAAGGAAATTCTGTGCAATACAACCTTACTATGTAAAGATATTTTACAAAACAGTAAGAGAAAGACTAAAGACCACCTACAAAAAAAAAAAAAAAAAAAAGACCAAAAAACATTAACAGGATATCCATCACAAAAGAAAGGGCCAATAACATACAGAAACCTGTTCAATCTTACTTATAAACAAAGAAAACAATGACGCTAAGTAGTTTTTATTTACCTAATTGGCAAAAAAAAGGAGGGTTAATATTTACTGCCACTGAGTGGGCCTGGAATTTGGTGCAATCAATGTATCAGTTTGGAAGAAGGTACCCATAGTGTTAAAATGGACATGCTTTTTACCCAGAAACTACTTATTGAATAATACAGATATATACAAAGTGTTCATATTGGTATTTTTTATAATAGTGAAGAATTAAAAAGCAAGTGTTTAATAACACATAGTTATATGTCCATAGAAATAGAACATCATATTAAATTGTAATAGTATTTTAAAATATTTAATGATAAGTATAGAGATGTAAGTAGAATGTATTATTAAATATATTATTAAACTAGCCCTGATAGGTAGTTAGAGTGTCAATTCCTGGTCAAGGGCACCTATCTGGTTCCAGATTTTATCCGGAGCCTGGTCAGGGCATGTGTAGGAGGCAACCAATCAATATGTTGCTCTCTGATACTGATGTCTCTCTCTCTTTCCCCTCCTAGCCTCTATTCCTTTCTCTCTAAAAATTAATGGAAAAATATCCTCAGGTTAGGATTAATTATATATTTCATTATAAATTAAAATGAAATTGTAAAAGTATGTCTATAATAATAAAAGCATAATATGCTAATTAGACCAGACAGCCGAATGACCTTCTGGATGTCACTCCAAATGTCCTTCTGGACCAAGCTGCTATGGCTGAGGCTGAGGCAGAGGCAGAGGCAGTTAGGGGCGATCAGGCAGGCAGGCAAGTGGTTAGGGGAAATCAGTCAGGAAGGTAGGTGAGTGGTTAGGAGCCAGTGGTCCCAGATTGGAAGATGGATGTCTGACTGCCAGTTTAGGCAGTTTAGTCCCAATCCTGCAGGGATCCCAGATTGTGCAGGCCAGGCTGAGGGACCCCTCTGCCTCTTCCCCCTCCATGCATGAATTATGTGCACCAGGTCTTTGGTTTATAATATAATCTAATAAGCACAAATACATATATATATATATATATATATTACATAAAATATAATCAGATAGGCACAAACAAAGGTATATGTGCAAAATATGCATTTATAAACATACAGAAAGCCTAGAAAGATACACACCAAAATGTTAAAAGTGGTAGACTTGTTGAGGATTTTTGGGATTATTTTTCTGTTTTATCTTTTTGTTTATATTTACTTCCTAAACCTTCCATAACAAACATATATTACATTTATTCTAAGAATTAAAAATGAAAGTTTATTTCTTAAGCTTTAATTCAAGTATGAATTTATACTCCAGACCTACACTTAAATATATTTTTTCTTTTGGTTTTTCACTTTCCTGCATCTGGGAATTTATCATTCTGTCTAATTTATACTGAGTGTGAGTGGTTTTATAAGGAAATTTACATTGAAAGTTAAGTGTTTGCCAGATGGGTATTTTAAAACTTACATTATGAACTCTGATAAAATTTTAATGGCATACTAAATGGAGAAAAGTGAAGCGTATGAAAAATTTGCGCGAATGTGAAAAGATTACTAAGCTCTTCTCCAGAACTGCCTATGTGATTTGTGGGGCATAGTACAAAATGAAAAGTGGTGCTCTGGTTTAAAAAAGTGTGAGAATTAAAATATGGCAATAGGAGAGCATTAAAACAGCATGGGTGGCTCTCTCTCTATGGAGCAGGCCTGTGTATACCCCCCACTCCACTTTCTTTTCCAAGGACACCCCCCTCAGTACTCCCAAACTTCTCCTCCCTCTCATTTCTCAAAGCATTCCTCTCTCTCTCTCTCTCTCTCTCTCTCTCTCTCTCTCTCTCTCTCCCCCCCTCCCTCCCTCCCTCCCTCCCTCCCCCTCTCTCTCTCTTTCTCTTTCCCTCTCTCCCTCCCTCCCTATGTGGCATTCTAAATAAACATTCTCTTACAGTTTGAAAAAATAAATAAATAAAAATAAACCAAGGTTAGCCCTTCAACACATAGGGCCCTCTTTGCGCGGATCACAAACTCATGAGACTACCCTTCTCTCTCTTTCCACCCTCTATATATATTAGCATATCCAATACCCCACCATTTAGTCACCCTGGCTTTATAGGCCAAAAAATAATTAGAAGCTAATGTTGGTGTGAGGTACAACATTCAGGAGGAATATGACAATTATCTGTTCTAGTTTGGGTTCGGACACTTATTTGCTTCATGATCTAGCATGTCACCTCCCTGGCTCCCTCCCTGCCTTAGGGATTCCGGTCTTACTCTAAATCTTGTCATTACCATTCATTGCCCCCCCTTTCCCAAAACCTCTATGTTAAGTATAATCTTCTCTGTTCAGCACCTCTTCTTTGTGTTCCTTGTTTATTCTTATACCTCATTCCAAAAATTATTCAACCCCACTGGAACCTTGCATCATGGATTCCATCATTTCCCTTGAGTTTTTACCCTTCATTATGACCCCCACCATCCCCTCCCATATATGGGCTTATGTTCCTATTGTTCTTATCATACTTTCAATATTTTTTTATCCTCGTCATTTTCTTGTGTTCATTTAACCAAACCTCATCTCTGGTTGACCTACCATGATTAAACCAACACCTTCCTACATACTCCATGCCAGCTCCTGGGCAGCTGATCCTGGCTACAGAAGTGCTTATTCATCTCACTTTAAAATTATAACCATTGATTTCAAACGGACCCTCCAGACATCCTAGCAGTTCTTATACATTTCTTTAGAAAAATCACTTTCTCATTCTCTAGGACAGCAATTTCATATCTAATTTGCCCTCATCAGATCTCTACCACCTATTCCCTCATCCTCAGGCTCAGTTGTTGACCTCTCTTCATAGTTCCAGAGAAAACCCAAGCACTCAAATGAAAACCACCTCACTTTTCTACCACCAGGTCTGCTTGTGTGCTCTCCCTGTTACAAGGAAGGAATTTTCCCTGCTCATTTCCAAGGTCAGCTCTTCACTCGTGGCCTGGACTTTGTACTTTCTCACCCATTTAAAGACTCTACCTCTGCAGTTTTCTCCCCTCTCTCCTACAATATCAGTTTCTATCTTTTTTCCTAGATAAATTTAATACATCATATTAAATATCATATAAAGCTTCTCATCTTAACACACACACACACACACACACACACACACACACAATCCCTTAACCCAAAGTTTCCCTCCTATTATTGCCTTATTATTCTATTTTGCTTTACCAAATAACTAAGAAAATTGTATATTGATTACCTCATTTTCTTATTTTTAACCTCTTTCATGTTTTCATCCCCACAACAGTCCTAATACCATCACTATCAAAGGCACACCAGATTCCATCTTGCTAAATACAAGTATCGGTTCTCAATTCTGACTGATTTCTCAGCAGCATTTGAGAAATGGTGTCAATTTCTTGTCTTCTGGAACAAAACACTCCTGTTTATCCACCACCTCATCAGTGCTCTTTTCCCGTGTCCTTGCCGGCTCCCACTCTAAATGCTGGGGCACTCCAGAAACCCAGTGCATAGACCTCGGTCTCTTCTCATTTTCCAGGTGATCTCATCCAGACCCATGGCTTTAAATACCAGCTACCAGCTGGTGATTCCAAAATCTTCAGTCATGAGCTCCCTTGCACTCCAAATTCGAACAGCTAGCTGTCCAGTTGGCATCTCTGGTATCTTCCCAATAGCATTTATTATTTCCCTGCACTCCCTAACCTCAGGGCCAAAGCTGCTTCTAGCCTAATAGTCTTCATTTTTAACAAGTTGGTTCTATCATTTTTCTTATTATTCAGGCGGGAAAAAAATCATCTAGTCATCTTGCTTAATTGTGCATTTCCCCTCAGCATCCAGAGCAAGCCCTACTGGTACAAACATAAAAATAGATTTTAAAATCAATCACATCTTGCCACCTGTTCTGCTGAATTCTGGTCCAAACCAATATCATCCCACGCCTGGACCACTTTTCTCCTCAAAGTATCCAGAGTAATCTTTTAAAAAATATAAACCATATCACACCGCTTTTATTCTTAAAACTCTCCAAGAGGTGACAATTACACTTATCATCATCATCTAAAAGGCCTTATACAGTATAACCCTACTTCTATCTCCAATGCTGTGCCTTCACCACCAACTCTGAATATATTTTACTCTTGCCAATCTGCATCATTTCTCAAGAAAGACAATCTTTTCCCACCTCTCGCTCTTCTTATAGGTTATTCGACCTGCATGAAAAAATATCTCCTCAGACCTTTTCATGAGGTGAAAGAGAGACATATGGCCTTCATTTGAACTCTGCCTCTATCACTTACTGGTTGAGTTACTTCAAGCTGAATACTCAACCTTTCTGTGCCTTAGTTT